AATTTTTCCAAAAACATACCTGTTGTTCCATCTCCCTGACCTTGAACTCATGCCCACTCAAGCTCGTGTAATCCAGCCCATCCGCACCATTCTCATCCCGACTCCTCTGCTTGATGATCTCTCCTGGACCTGGCGCACCAACGCGCGACAGGCCGCGCCCACCCTCCTGCTCGCCTGCTCCAACTGTTCCTGAGTCTTGGACATGAACGTCGCCTTGACCCGCGACGCGGCCACCAGCTGCCACCTCATTTGACGCCACGATCAACTGCTCGGGACTGTTCCGCCCGGAGATGACGCCGTCCGCTGTCTCGATCAGCGTGTTGGTGGATGAGGCGACGGCCTTCGCGGCCGAGATGAGCCCTTCGGTCCACCGGTTGTTTTTCTTGTAGAAGGCCGTTCGCGAGCTGGAGCCGCGCCCTTCCTTGACGATCTCCTGCTGCGACGCCGTGGCGGCTTTGATGAGTTGCGCGATGGCGTTAGTGACGGCCACGGCGGCTTCGAGGATGGAGTCATGAATCTGGAGCTCGTAGGTGGAGTAGCCCTCACGAGGCTTTTTGCGGAGTTTAGCGAGCCGCTCAGCTGCCGCGTTGATGGCGTCGGCGGCCTTGGTCATTTCCGAGTCCACCAGATCACCCAGATCGCCGGAGGCATTGGATGTGTTGATCTTGCTGCTGGCGGGAGTGAATGTGTCGACGAGCTTGGAGAGCTTTTGCAGGTTCATCAGGACTTCGTGGTTGTTGTTTACTACCACGTCGGTTTTTTGGGTAGGTTCGAGACCTTCCAGGCGGAAGGATTGGAGGCCCCGGAAGAAGGTGACAGTTGAGGTTGCGGATTGGCGCGCTGCGTTGATGACTTGTTCACCCTTTTTGTCGTCGGTGGCGAAGCGGGTGAGGCCCTTGGTATTGGAGAGGACGTCGGCTATGGAGGCAGCGAAGATGGAGACAGTGCGGATGATATCCGCGTGAGGACTGTTCGGGCCATCGGCGATGAAGTTGTTGAAGGCAGTCGAGAACTCGGTGGCGCTAGACGAGGCCTTCTCGATTTGCGAGAGAACGTAGGGTGGTGTGGCGTTTTGGTTTCCTGCTTGCATGGTAGAATCCAATTCATACAATGCATCGTCGACTCGTTGTACTCCACTTTGCAATACGGAATCGATGATGTCGTTGATCTTTGCAACGCTGCTTTGCAGCACAGTGTCGATAGCTCCATCCAGGGCACCCTCGTCGTCCCCCTTGGTAAGCTTGAGCTCTTCGAGTTCCTCCAGGGCCTGCTCCATGCCTGACTTGTAGATCTCAATTTCATCATCTTTCTCCTTCATCTGAGTCTCGAGATCACCATCGCGTTCACTATGTTTGGAACGGATGTCATCCAGTATTCTGGTCTTGTTTCGAAGTGCTTCCTCCAAATCGGCCATTTCCCGGTTGTACTTGGCTAGCATTGAAGAGAGCTCCGAGCCTTTCGCTTTTTCGGCGTTTTCGGCCTTCTCTAACGCGAAGCGAAGCTCTCTTTTCAGCTTCTCGACCTCTTCGCGATGGCCACCTGTTGTCCGATCTTTCTCGTGCAAGGCCCTGTCTCGTTCTCGGATCATGTCTGCCAATTCTAGGTTCTTCGTCTTCATTTCTCGCTCTAATCTTTCTCTTCTCTCGATTGCTTCTTGAGCTGAAGCAGCCCTTAGCTTGAGAGACTTGGTGGTTTGTAGCAAATCAAGATGCTCCTGTCGGAGCTGGGAGTACAATTTTGCGAGCGCCTCATACTTAGATCTCCAAGTATTGACTTGAGCCTGAAGTGCCTGGATCTGATCGTCTTTTGATTGGTTTTGCATCTGGTAATTGGAGTTGAGCTGGCTCAGCTGTTCTTCCAAATCCTTCATCCTCCGATCATACTGCTGTAGCATCAGTTGATCTCGCTCATATTGCGCTCTAGCATTCAGGTTTTCTCGCTCGAGTTCAGCCATGCGGCCTTGGGTATGTGCTTGATACTGATCCCGCATCAAAGCTTCTTGTGCTAGTCTTTGCTGTTCAGCTTGTAATCTTTGTTGCTCTTCAAACTCTCGTTGCGCTTGCTGTTGGGCAAGCATCTGTTGCCGCTGCTGCTCTTCCCATTGCTGCTGCAGCCGCCTCTGTTCTGCTTCATACTCGTCTTGTTGTCTTCTAGCTTCATTTGTCCAGAAGTCATTGATAGGTTCAGGATCTGCCACCGCCTTCGCAGGCACCGGCGATGGCGGTTTTTCGACCTCCTTTGCTGGCCTTTTTGGTAGAGCGGGTTTCTCGTCATCCTCTGCAAGCAGGTTTGGTGGCTCTTGAGGCAGTTTCGGTACAGTGATCAAACTAGTCAGATATCTCAGGTTTGAACATTCGTAATAGAATCTAACAAGTCGATAATGTTGGCCCTCGTAACGTCCCCTCAGAGGCTCAAGGGCATCGTCATCTCCAGTGGCTTTTTGATGTTAGCAACAGACCAACACAAGACCAGCCGAGACATACTCGTGTGCATCGCCCGCAGCATGCTGGTAATAAATTTGTAGATGCCATAGCTTTCTTGCACAAGAGGGACCAGTGCAGCGATTCTACTCTCATTGTTGGCGCCGCCTCGGAAATGTGAGAAGATCAGCTTCTGGAAAGCATCAATCTGATCCTGAAGTGTCATCAAGTCTGATATCGTTTCGTATCTATTTCACATTAGTTGGCTATCCCTGCGGTCTGAAGTATTTGTTATTCACCCTTCATTCGGATCGTTGATTGATTTCAGGCTGATATACTCTTCGTACTCAAACAGCCCTTCTTCAGCATTAGCATCACGGTCCGAAACATCCAGGGGTTACCAACCATTGAATTCAGGATGTTGTCGGTGGAAGGCAAGCTTTGCCAGGAGAAAGAAAACGTATTCGCGGATCAGCGGGCCATAGCCTGCAAACGTGTCAGCGCCGTACAACTAGACAGCCCCTTTGCTGTAGTCTACATCGGTGCAATGGCTTGCCAAAGACTATCGAATCCCCGTGCTTTGACAGGCATACCTCGCAGACCCTCCCCGTTCACTCCTCTAGCCAGACTTTCCACCCAATTAATATTCTGCTGGGCCTCCTTGAGAACGACTGGGTGGCCTTCTTGTAGGACTTTGTGTATGGTAATAAGTGCTTTGAATGTTTGTATCTCATCTGCCAATATAGGTTGCCTGCACTACCCAATTACTCGATGCTCTAGCGTTCTGCGCGGAAGTACTGTTGGTCGAGGGAGGGAATCACATAAGGACATTAGGCCTTAAACGTACACTTTCATGCCCGCCCAAAATGACTGAGAAGTCTTATGATCCCACGTATAGACGATGGCAGCTCGAACATGTTTCCCTGCGTCCTTGTAAGCTTCGTCTCGGTGCGCTAGGGCTGGGCTAAGGCGACGCTGGGAGGCATGGTAGGACCGTACGTTTTGGTGCTGTTTCCTCTATTCAAACCACATATCAGCTAGGTCGTATGATGCAAGACAGGCTGTGATCGTACCTATACTCGTCGCCTTTCGAATGTTCTGCGCAAGATCCGTTTCCGTCCTTATGGCCATGTCAGTGCATGCGCTCTTTCTTCTTTGCGTCTTGGAGGTGTGCAAACCTCGACATATCGATGTTTCTGCCACCACTTGCACCGAAGCCTGGGTATGACATGCTACCACTCCTCCCGTAACCCCCCGTCGCCGCAACTGACGACCGTCTTCTTGCTCCTCCCTCCTGATGGTATGATTGAGGGTAATAGACCGCCGTGTTGTCGATACGTTCAATTATAGGTTGTCCACAGACGACGGCTCAGCTCTGCGTTCAAGGAATAGTCGATTTTGCAGGCAGCAATAAAAGAAATTGCTTGACACTCCACTGCGAGACTCGGGAATCTCTAGAACCCAATGGGAGATGCATCCTGTCTTGGCGTGGCTGGAGCTTCGTCACACTCCGCGTCAGTTTACCTTTACATACGTATGTAGTACATATGTACTGTAAGTCATGTATGTATTTACAGTGATTGGAGGTACTGGCCCCGCGAAGCCTCCAACGTCAAACCTCACGCTTCCAACACTTCAATCTTCTCTTCTTGGTCAGCATCCCATCTATCTCCCAACATTGTTCGTATGTCCAGCACGGCGCTTCGCGTTTCACCTCTCACTGCTTGTACCTATGGCTTCGCGAGATCGTTCTGTCTCCCCGAAAATCCAAAATTGCCCGCTGGTTTCCCCCTCGGCGCCTGCATCCGTTCATTCCTCAAGTCGCACCAAGCGGAAGCGCTCGCAAGGCTGTGACCCTGGAGCCGACGAGGTAGAGGATCCTCGGCCTTCAAAACAGATCAAGAGATCACCCACCCTCCTAGCGCTCTCTGAAGACAACTTGCAAAAACTCAACGCAGAAATCATGGACGGCGCAAACAGCATGAATGGCCTGAAAAGAACCTCATCCAGACCTTCCAGAAAATCAGATATAAGCCAGGATACAACACAAACCCAAAGTGTTTCTGTCGCTTCCGCTTCCTACCGCTACAATTACCTCGCAGACGCCCAAGTCTTCTTCCACGCGGATCCGCCTGATTATATCAATACCACTATCCATACCATTATCGAAGCGAAAATCAGCGAGAAGGATCGAGCCAAACTGAAAGATATAGCAAGGCAGTTCCACAGTAACACGATGAAAGTTGTCAGAGCTTCAGTTGGCGAAGATGACTTTCTTGGAATACTTACCGGTGCTTTCGAGGCTCTGAATAAAGTCCATCTCTGCCACCGAGCAAAGTCCGACTGGCGAGAGGAGCTCAAGCCTGCGAGCCGGCAACCACACTTCGATCTGGATTTCCTCACGAATCCGAACCTCAAGGCCAATGGCCAGTCATCAGCCCTTGACGAGGCTTTGCCTCCACCTCACAAACGCCAACAGCGGTCTGCCAGTCAAACATACATGTCTCCGTCGTCAATGAACGACGCAATCGAATCTGCATCAACCAAAGCACCACAAGACACTGGTACGATGCCTCCTCCGGCTGCTTCCTCTTTACTGGCGAAAGAAGGAGATCGATCTGTGATCAAAACGCCCCGTCCCGACTTATCGATTGGCATACTTAACACGACTCTCCACTCGCGTGTTTCGACGGAAAAATTCAACGAGGTAGAGGTTGAACAACTCCTCAGATACCTGCAGGCCAAGCTGAGGCCCCGCGAACCAGGGAAGCAGCCCGAACCAATACTGATATCAATACCCGCTCTACGCGCGTCAGATCTCGCTTTTCCCTTCATCGTTGTTGAGGGAAAGGCATACTCCACTGGCAAACAGATGTTCGAAGCCGAGAACCAAGCTGCCGTTTCCGGGGCCTGTGGGCTGAAAATACAGCTGTGTCTTGACGAGTTAGTACAGCAAGTAAACCGCACAGCAACGACTTCGGATGTCCCACCAACTACACCTGCTCCGCCGCCGCTTTTTTTCTCCGTCTGCACCGAGGGCCCAATCCACGCGCTCTGGGCCCACTACACGCTGGTTGAAAACGGCGTGCGCAAATTCAAGATGACGCTGCTGAACTCCTGCAACGCGGTGAGGCTGAAGGATCTAGAAGAGTTTCTCGTCGCGTTCTATAATGTGTGTAGTTGGGGTACGGGAGGATTTCTTGACTCGGTGGTGGAACGCCTGGGCAAGGTGGTGGCGAACCTAACGGCTGCATCGCAATCGTCGGGATAAGGGGCTTCAGTCGTTGGTGATCTCGTTGCCGAAACCGAATAGTCATCTCGTCTATATTTTCATCCATCATCTCTGCTGAGACCCAAAGGCTTACTCGGTATGCAATCTCCCGCTCACAAATGTATGGCCCGAGTCTGCCATTAGCGCGCTGTGCGAGCACGCAGGTAGGGGTGATATCTGTCAGGCAGACTCAAGCGTCAGACTCTACGTCGTAGAACCCTCGCTCCCAATTAGGGTGAAGTCGATGCCTGATCTTACTCTCCTGGGAGCTTCGTCACACCCGACGTCAGTTTGTTTGGAATCGGGAAAGTGTTCTACTTAAGAGAGAATGCCAAAGAGCAAACGGTGTAGCTGGAGCGATAACCCTCTTGCGTGGTCTCCCCTGGAATTAATCAACCACTTTCATGACGTATTTGAGCTATCCTTCGTTACCCTTATATGGTATCTGTGAGCTGGGTATCAATGTGCAAATTGACAGACCGCGCTTCTCGGCGATCTGTTCGTTGATCAGGGCCTGACCCGCTGCTCCTGGCATCGCTCTCTTATAAAAATACATGCATACCCAAACCAAGCCCTATAAATTCCCAAACTCCCAACTCCCAACTCCATCGTATCATCACGCTGGTGTGCCCCCTGAGTCGCTCCTCGATTGAAGCTCTGGTCGATCATCTATCTTCTGTGACGCCGAACCATTCGAGTCCTCACCATGGCCGAAGAACTCATCATGGTGCTCATCATCAGCAGCAGGCGTCGGAGGGTTTGAATCCACTGGCGCTTCCACCACCAGGACTTCATCAGGCTGCTCGTCCTTCTGCGCTGGGCTCTGCCGTTTCCTCCTTGTAGTTTGATTAGGCTTGGGCGTTGATAGCCGGCTGCTATCGGTAATCGTTGTGCGATCCGAGGGAGCTGGCGCAGGCACCGGTCTCCGCTTGGGTAGAGGTAATGCGCTAAGTATAGAGCGCTCAGGATGCGGTAGGGGTGTGCCAGGCGGTGGAAGTGGTCTTCCTCTGCCCATGGGCAATTCGGGAGTGCCTAGCTTATTGTGCTGGGCCGCTGCCTCCTTTTCACGTTGCTGGTTGCGAGCAAGAACGCCCCAACCCCAATTCTTTGCTGCCGCGGTTGCGGAGCTAAGATTGATTCCCTGTCGCTTTTCTGCTGACGAGGCCAATGATCTGATCGAGCCCAGAGTACTTGTCCGCGAGGGTCCCTCGTTCAGCGACGGGGCCTTTGAGTCCTCACTACCGGCGATAGGAGATGTCAATGTCGAGGACTGACTGTTCGTTTGTATGGACGACGATTCAGATTGTTGGCGGGGGTTACGGATCGATAAGCTCTCATCAGAAGCTTTAGACGAAGGCCTGCTTGCCGCTATCAAGGCTGCGGCCAGGGCAGTCTCGTTTGGTGGAGAGCCAGCGGGAGAATCTGCGGGAGAAGCGGTGATGGACTTGCTAGAGAGCTCTTTCAGCATAGCTTGTGCCGCATCCTTGCGTTGTGGTGGGTCTAACAGCCTTTGCCGTCCGTCAGCATCAGCGTGACTGGGACTGACCATTGGATCAGCAAGGGAAGCAAACGAGCTCGACCGCAACGCTCGTGGTGGCTCGGGTCGATGGAGCTTGTCCGCGGCAACGGAAGATGATCGGCCCAAGTCTTCTCCTGACACCTTTGTCGATCTGCCTGCTCGAGACTTCAGCCCGTTCGTGGGCGACGGTGGTAGATGCAGTTCACTCACAGTCCTATCGTGACTGCTCTTGATTGTATCCACTGACGCATCTACATGACTCTCCCCAGCCTCGCCTTCATCCTCAGGCATCTCTTGCTTGATCTCCACAGGCTGGGCCGGCTTGACTTCCCTCTTCCACACACCGCCTCGGAAGGCCTCTTCGCCTGTGTCCAAGAATGGGATGTCATCCCAGAAGGGTAGCACAAGTGTTTCAGCAAAAACTTCCCGGATCCTGCTCTCAATAGCTCTTAGCACAACATTGTATGTGATCTGCCTTGAACTGACAATGGGCTCTATCTTCAGGTCTAGGTTGGGCATGGTTTCAAATGCTACCCAGACACGATTACTGGGTGGTGGCTTAAATCGGATCAGACCATGTCCTTCAAGCTTATTGACCACCACAGCAAGAACGAGCTCGACCTCTCGCGCTTTGAAGCGCGTGCCAAGATCCAGTCGTGCCGTTGCAGCTATTTCGATGCGAAACTTGCCACTGTATTTGAAATCCCCTTCTGCAGTGCAGTCACCATTTACCGTCAAATCTTTCAGCTTGGGATTGGTGAGAAACGGCGCACCCTCACCCATATCAATCCTCTGCAGCGCAAGTCGCGTGATAAAGTTTGGTTTCTTGACCCGAGATATCTTCTTGGTCATCTTCTTTCTGATGAAGGCCTCTACTTCTGGCGTTTTGTACATAGAGAGGAACAGCCTTCCAACCAACGCATTCAGCCATCTTGTTTGCAGCTGTTCCTCCGACGAGTGCAGTTTTTGCACCAGTGTGATGATGTCCTTGATCTCGTATTCTTGAGGCACAGGCGGGCTGTCTTTCGCACCCGGTATCTTCTCTTGGTTCTTCAAAAGCGCAAAGTAGAAGTCTTCCTTCTCGGAGGAGTTTTCGCAGAAGAGGAAGAATGGTAATGATGTTGTTTGGGTCGTGGTCGCAGCTCTCTTACTCCGAGTCAAGCAGATAGCATTGCGTTTGATCCAAAGCTCTCCCTCAGGTATCTCCTCTGGCCCACCATATATGCTCACATCGTGATGTTCCAGAGAAATCACATGTCGGACTTCGAGTTGTTCCGAATCATCATACAGCATAAGATGACCGTGTCTGCGTGATGTTCAGCCTGCAGGCAGGATTCCCGCTTGATCTATCGGACATACCTCAGCACAACGAAGAACACATTTCTAGCTCTCTTCACAGGTTTCCCATCCGCTTTATTCGGCTGTATTGTAGGTTTCTGCTGGCGATCGAAGATGCTTCGGTACATGCTCTGGTACACGCTCGGGCTCTCTGCCGCCACCACTTCTCCAGAAGGTGTCGTCCGCTCAGGCGGCTCTACTCTTCTTGTCAGTCCCCAAGGCATATTCCCGTGACATTGAAAGATGCCATACTCCCATTGACTCCACCGGGGACATATTCCCTGCACACCGCAAAGTACCCAGCCGCAACATCAGACTCGTGCTTTCGAGTGAATTGTTCCGCCAGAACATCGGCTCCAGACTTGAGGACGGCGTCGTCGTCATGTGCGCGTTTCAGAGTACTAGCATGACTAGTAGCAGAGGTCGAAGACTCGCTTTTAGTAGGGAGGGTGAGATAGGCATGGAGAAATATCACGGCGAAGACCAAGGGAATAAAGGTAATCCCTCCGAGTACATACACAAGGAGAAACCTAGTAAATGATTCCATTGCGCCCTATACATGCTAAGCCGACAGAAAAGATTGCTGACGAGGTCGCATCACTACCAACGTGGACACCTGTCGGAAACATTCATTCGCGGCCGGCGTGGGGATCGTGCCTCCATCTCAGGCGCATCCTCCCCGCATGACGATTCTAACTTAGTCAGTTTGTCAAGTCACCACAGCACGACTTGAATTTACTATTTTAATGTAGTCCCAGGTACATATTAGAGTGTCTATCCTGAGGGTATCATGCCCAGGCGTTGCCGATCCTACCATGCCTATCCCAAGGGTATCATTTCCAGGCATTGCTCCCAACCCAAACATAGAAACGCCAGATAATGCGTCTAGGCTTACCAGTCAAAGCCGCCTCCTCCTTTCTCCTCCAGCATTCTCAAGACTGGACCGACCTGTGCCTTCGTGTTGTTCATATTTGCCATGTGCCTCGTCCGTGAGTAGAATACAGGACAATCTTTGCTGTCGCACTTCACCTCCTCTGTCCAACCAAGTCCGGAACAGGACCTGCAAATTCTGTTCAGCTGGATAGCTTTCCTCTCTGCTTTTGTCATTCTTGCACGTAGAAGCAGGGTAGTCTGTGGCGACTGCTCGAAGCAGCTGTTACAGATGGGCGAGTCTCCATCCAGGCTTTCTCGACACACGATGCAGGTTGACGATTTCATGTATGATTCGAGAGTTTTCCTGGTAAGAGCATCCCTCCCGTCTGGAGCGAGCACACCCTCGACTCGGCGGATACGTTGAAATTTGGGCATCTCGTCATACCACTGTCTGACATTTGCTCCAACCAGATTGAAGATCCTTTCTAAGGGCGGTATGAGATTCTTCGAGATGTAGTACTCCGAATCCAGCTCCAACTGTGCGTCTTGAAGCAGCACTTCAGGTGCAACGCAGCGATCAATTAGACGAGCTCCTGGTCCGCCTGTGATAACGACATACGGTACCCTTTCACCATATTGAGGTTCAAGCCTTGGATCTTCAATCATCCTGCGAGCGCTGATCAAAGCCCCTGGAGGTGGTGGCCCCTTGTCGCTATACGTTCCCAGCTTCACCTCTCGAGCAAAGCAAAAGTCCTGGATCGACACCTGGCCTTTCATTATCTTGGTGCATTGGCTTTGGAAGAAGCTTTTGACTTGGCTGAGATCTGCTGTCTTAAAGAGTATCTTCAAGGCTTTCTCTTCGATCTTCTGTTCAGCTGGAGTGCCATCCCGGCGCACAGTCTCAATACCTTTCGCATCGAAATCTGGCTCTTTCTGGTCTCGATGCTCGTATTTGAAGCCGACATACCGCTTTTTCGCGAGCAAGACGCAGGGATGGTATACCTTTTCGAATTTGAGTTTTACCGGTCGCGGGTTCATCTTGGTAATGGTCTTCGCAATATCTTCACCAATATCGAACGCTTGCTCCCTAGTACGACCTTTCAGATATACGAACAAGCTATCAGTGTCCCCATAAACCACTTCTGCACCCCATTTCTCTCGTGAGTGAATTACGGCGATTGCTTTCTCCAAAGTTTCGCGAGCGGTTTGCACAATACTGTCAGCAATCTCTGAACAAGGCATCCTACCAGAGAATGATGCTGAAGTATATCCGTAGGTGACATTTGCGATCAGTTTAAGGGCCAGCTGTCTGTTGTTCAACAACCTCTGTAAGGTCTTGTCATTCTTATCCACTTTCATACCACTTTTCACCATAACTCGAGTTTCCAGGATCTCACCCAACATCTTCGCCAGGAGTGACTTCCGAATGTGAGTCTTGGCGTACATGATCCCGTTTGGTGCAATGTTGATGTGATCTTTCAGAAGCTCGATTAGTCGCTGCTCTCGTCGATAATCTGTGAAGCCCATCTTGTTCGTGCCGCGCCAGCTGACTACCCGCCCTAAGAAAGTCGAGTAACAATAGTTGTAGGCGATCATGATGCTGGGATACAGAGATTGAAAGTCCAACACGAGCATGGGACTAGTGTAGAAGTCGCTCTGTGGCTCCATGACCAACGGTAGACATTCCAAAGCGTTCTGGCCTCCTACTTGTCTACGACTAGGTGAAACCAGAATGAAGTTCTCAGGCTTCGCAATCCGGAACATGAGTGATTCAACCTTGAATTGGGAACCTCGAGAAATAACAGAGAACCAGTCTACACCAAGCAGGCGGGCTTGTTCACTTGTCCTTGGCACAAGCTCGTTGGATTCGAGGATATCAAGGTCGATTTGGACCCGAGAGACGAAGTACTCGATCACCTTCGACAAGTCCCGCGGGATCGTGCTCTTGTACCACGCTGTCAAGTCAGTGAACTTGTAGTGGGGAATCCGACGATGCAAGAGATGGAAGACAACGTTCTCCATGGTATACTGCAGTAGATTCAGTTCCCCACGCATAGCGCGCCAAATATTGATGGTATGTCGGCCCGTAATGCGTATGGTGGAGGTTTGATTGAATCCCCACTTATCGTCTTCTTTGCCAAAACGACCATGGGAATGTGATTTCATTCTTGACATTTCATCGCATAGGTTCAGCTCATACTTGACACGAGCCCGTTCGATAAGATAGCCCCAAGAGTTATTGTGCACTTCGTAGCCAGTCAATATATCCGGATCATACTGGCGAACGATATCGGTCATTCTGGTGAGCACATCCAGTTCCGTTGGCTCCGCTTCAACCTCGACAGGCACATCTCGAGATACATTTTTTGCGATTCTTCCGCTCTTATCATTTACCAAAACCCCGGTATGCCTCCCTGCTTGTGATCCATTGGCATCAAAGTCATCGTTATCCGATTGGACGCTCCAGAAAAGACAGGCAATCTCGTCTTCTTCTGGGTTTGGCGCCAGGTTGCCGCGAGTATTCACATGAACCTCCAGACTCATGATGCTCATGTACTGAGTCTCATGTTGGACGCTTGTGCTTTCATGCTTTTGAGAGTACTTGAAGCCGTGCTTATTCTTTTGTGTTGGAACATCAATCTGTGAGAGCAAGTTAGTATCTTCCTTCATTTTTCCATCGCTGTGGCTTGGAGCCATAGCTAACGAATTTTCACGCTCAAGCCATGCTGTCACCTCAGCCTTGGTAGGAGGCTGATCTGCGATGCTCCACCGTGTTATCTTACACAACCTCCTGCGCTTACGGTCGGCCTTTTCCTCTTGGACCTCGTCTAGAAGAGTCTGGTTTCTGCGTCCATATGTTGCAGGTGAACTTCCGGTTGCATCGAAGTCAGGCAGGTAGGGGACTGTGTTGCTTTCTAACCTGAACTCTCGACCACCATACTCACGCTGTCTGTCAGGAACATCTGTTTCATCACCGTAGTAGGCATTCTGGTAGATCACATCTGGAAGCCCTTGCATGCACATAGTCGTTTGAACTTCTGAGAAAGAAGGGCACGCCAGCCCGAACATCAGAGTTTTGACGTTCGAGCCTGGTATGGAGAGATCAGGGGGGATGGCTGGCAACAAAGGCAACAGGTCCGAGGACATCGCCGAAAATGGCGTTTTCTGACTTGACGATACGGACGCCTTGGAAGGGGTATGCTGGCTTATTGAAGTTGATACAGTAGGCTTGCTCTGTATATCTTGGCTTAGTTTCAAGGAAGGATTGCTCTGTTGACTCAATCTCATGATTGCGTTCGTGTCACTGGGATCCTTGACTACCGGAAATGGAAGTTTTGAATCACGCAAGGTTCCATTTGTCTGCGAGCCATGCTGTTCGGTTGTAGTTTGCGAACCTGGTTTCTGTTTGAAACCATTTTGAGCAGATTGCTCGACATTAGTCGAAGAGAGGCGATAATCGACTGTTGCGGGGGTATGGACGAGCCTAAGTGGTGGATGGATCTCTGGGTCAATGTCTGGTAGGAGGTGCTCCTCGTCGACAAGGACCTTGCGCTTCTTCTTTTGTGGTTCTGAGGAGCTTGTCAATGGCTCTAAAGGTCTTCTTTTGTGCCCGTTAAGGGTGTTGCCGGAAACGAGGAACTCATCTGGAATCTCAAAAGCGTCTTCGCTGACATGACTCAGATCTCCTGCTTTACGTATACCAAGATGGTCAAATTCGGAGGAGCTAATTGGCGGTGTAACATCTGTCGCAAGTCTCTCGGCGGAGGTATTCGATGAATCTAAGAAGGAACTAACTTTAGCACCATTGCTCATTGGTCCATGGGCGATGGGTACTCCATTTTCTGGTTCGGAAGTTGCTTCGTCTCGGATCTGAGCAACCCAAGCCTCGTCAACGAGCTCAGTCTGCGGACCCAGAGCATATCCAGCTGCAGGATCCCGACCCAAACTCGCCGGGTCTCCTTGAGGCAGATTCTTAGTGTAAAGATCCTCCACACTCTCCAGTGCTGTGTTGACAGTGCTCTCGAAAGGTATGGTTTTGACGAAGTTGTCAAAGGTAATCTTCTGTCCAATCCCCTGTTCATGCTCCTCTCTCGCAAGCTTGTCCGCCTTCTGCCGATATTCCTCCTCATGAATCCAGCCACCTGCTTGTGAAGCTCTTGGGTTTGCGGACATCGTCACTAATACTTCAGGAGGGAACGGACTGCTGCTGGTGTCTATCAATCCGAGTCGTGCTTTTCTACGCCTAGTCTCGTCTTTCCACAAGCCAGCCATACTTGGAACCAGTTTCGCGTCCAGCGGAAGAGGATGAATTCTTTCGACGAAGTCATGATGAAGTGCACGCGCCTGGACATCCTCTCGATTCAAGATGTCCTCGACGTGAACATCCACCTCCAACGAGCAGTGACTCTGCTTTGGTAGAGTATCTTCATTGGAGACGTACTCGGATGGGATCGACCGATCATGCCACCTATGCGAACTACTGTTCATTTCAAAGAAATCCGGGACAGGCCCACGAAACTTGACCTTCTTGCAATCGATATAGCCGCAACCAAAAAGATTGTAATCGCACATCCACTGAGCCAAGTACTGCATATGGCTTTCGTAGGGCTGAAGAACTCGCTTCATCACAGCACCTTCTCTTAGCAGGTCTGCAAGCCTTGTCATATGCAGTGGGTTGAGCAGATAGATCTTCATAAAGAATTTGTAGCCAACATGGAAGCCATAGAAGGGAATGCCCTTGACCAGTGATATATGTGCCACATATGCAGGCTTTCCGTCGTTCTTGCGATAGCTTACAGCCAAGGCTTGATCAATCGAAAGCTGTAGAGTGCGGATCGCGACCTTGACCTCTTCATCTATCAGGCTTCCGCTATATTCGATATACAAGTACTGGAACGCGCCATGGATGTGCATGAGCACCTTTTGGCCGGTTTCTGTCGCACCAAACACCCGAATGACCGACACCTTCGGCCGCTCCTTGATATTGACATTGGAGATGCCATGAGGCACAGGAGGATCGAAGCCAGTGGGAGCCGCCTGGTAGTGATCAATACAATTCAGGCGGACTCTGAAAGTCTCCATGAATAAGGATCAGGGTGGGGAAGGAGGACGGGCATCGGGCAGTCTGCCGACGCTGCAACATTTCGCGCACGTCGTCAATTGTGGAAAACAGTGAAGAACTGCAAGAAGATCCCCAAAAGACCAAAATCGAATTGCTTAGCCCACAGTGCTTGAAGCAGCTTCACTGACATAGATCAAAGTTGTTAATGGTGGCTACATGTTCAGATGATGCGCGTTTGATGGTGATGCCGAGGTTCTTCCGAGATGTGCCTAACTTGGGGGGGCCGCTAAGGAAGGGGGCATATGGAGGTGTACTTTACCCGCACCCGGACCCTGATATGCAAAATAGCAACAGGGATGCTGACAGGGGTATTTATGTAAAGAAGGCGTTTTGTAAGATATTTTGACCAAGGGGGAGTACAAAAATTAGGCCTAATACCGTAGTATGTTACCTCGCCGCTAAGGTGGCTTACTATATATATTATACAGATAGAGGGATCAAGGTAACATAGTCCCTCGCTATCTAGGTATGCTACCTAATAAGGCTCTACACGTGTTACTCCTCAGCTTGTCCCATGCCGGCCACAACAATCGGGTCCAACCTTTGTTGTTGTAACGTACATTTGCCTATACTGACCGTCCTCGGGCTCCCAGGGCTAGGATTGTCCTGGGAGAGCAAGATAGCTTCTTTGCAGACAAGACCCCCAAGGCAATGCGCCGCCAGTATCAGCGGCCGTCGCGAGGCATTGCAGCTTGTCCGATCGGCTGTCAGATCGCCCAGCAGGTTCCGAGCATGATCGCTCAGCCTATTCCGGGAGGCTGTCTTTCCAATACTCTTTGTAATGTATGCATCGTATCCATAAGTCAAGATACGAGCGTGTGGAACCTTCTCTGGTAGTAGTGTCTTCAGCCAAGGATCCCCTTGTCCATCCGCGGTCCATGTTGTCAAGCGGTTCCCCGTTAACCCATGAACGAAACAGATATCCACTGACGCATCCTGAGGCTCGACGAGAACTTTAACGCCGTCTGGGAATACCTCGTCCGCTTGCCGTTGAGGTGTAGGGGATCGCAGGCTGGTATGGCTGCTAGGGGGCCCACTCGTTGCTAATACTATAGTATGTCTTGAGTGGTAATGCCAGCTTGTTCTCTGTCATCTTTATTCTTACCCTTGGACTTGCCAGCGAAGTGCCTGCTCAGCCAGCCCGGTTTTAGCATTGTGAGGGTGGCAGATGTTTCTCACACAGTACATTTGTGTTGAACTCAAAAATACAGTTTGAGTTATCCTGCTACACGTTTTAATGCGTTTTTTTACAGACTTACTACGCGTTTCGCATGAGCTCCGCATGTATTTTTGGTATCTACCTTCCACGCTTTCCCGCTTGGTATCGCAGAATTGTACGTATAAATGCGCACTCTACGCCCTCATTTAGATAGAACAACATGCTATTTTCACACTGATCCATTGCTCAGTCAGTACAGCTCAACAGTTATGAGCCCGGACGTTACCACAGCGAGGAAGAGTGGCTGCAAGCGATGGAGAAGCGCGCTACGCTGGAGGGTAAAACGGTTGAAGAGCTTGTTGCAGAGCTTGATTATCCTCAACGAGATAGCCCGCGCCCATTCCTGGATTGCGGGATGGGAGGCTGGAGCGGCGACTGGGATTGCGGTTGTGAAGGTAAGGTAGAAGTGTTTGCTTCTGAATGACGAGTTTTCTAGATTAATAGGTGGGAGTGCTGAGTCGAGGGTTACGAAAGGTTTTGGTACTGAGTAAGGTTAAAGGCCCTCCGGCCGAAGCCCGGTCGTCGGGCAAGTAGACGTATGTAATAGTGTTGTGGTAGTGCGCCAAGGCGCCTGCA